TTTTGGATTTAAAACGGTTTCCTTGACAGTAATAACGATGTAAACAAATGAGCCTGAAGCAATAACTTCAGTCTGTTCAATAGGAACAACGGTAAAGCTTTCATTAGAGCAGTCATTAGTATCTATTAGGAATCAAATAGGTACTCAGAGCGAAACGGTACATTACTGTAAACAACGGGCGTCGTAAATACCCGTTTTGCCCGATAGATGGCGGTAAGCGCGCACAATGGCGCGGGGGCGGCTCCTGCGCCGCTTCCGATGCCCATATTGATTTGCTACTAACTGTTGAGGAACTTGAATAAATCTGTGTTTGTGTTAGACAACATGAATTTTATCTAAGCGCACTGCCATGAGTTAGTTCTAAGCAGCGTTTACGGCGAGCTTGTCGAGATCAAGTTGGACGTTCAGTTTTATGATGTCCGTCCTGTCTGCCTCAAAATATTTATGTGTTGCGAAACTGATAACGCGCCTAAGTTTATTTGACGTAATATTCATTAAATCATAAAATTGTCTGTAATTTGACACTACACTGCTACTTATGTTATCTTAAGTTTATTTATTTGCATCTGTACTGGCTACTGTTTGTTTATATCAAAGGGGGCCGAAGTCATCAGTTTTATCGTTCATACTTAAACTAATTAAAGTAATCATTCGTTAGAATTTGTGTGGAAGTGCTTTCGAGGTGTATCAAAGTAGGCCGCTGGTGTTTGATAATGTATTTAATTAATAATACAAACCGGCCTCCTTCCTGTTTAAAAAAGTAGTAATAGTTGACGAAACAAAATGTTTTAACGCCGGATAAAGGCCGACGCGAGCGCAGCGGCAAGAAATAAATAAATAAATAGTGTTAGGAAGGAAATTTGCAAGTAATGACCATATAGAGTCGTTATCGAGCAGAGGATCGTAATGTGGCGTGGCATCTTAAACGATTGCATTGACTATTTTGAAATTAGCACTTTTTACTCGATTTTTTGCTCTTCTGTAGTAAACATCGCAACGCAGACGATCAATGAGCAGATAGAAGTGGACGTTCAGTTCCACAACTTTTCATCTTGCTCTACTTACCTAAGCCCAGAATACCACTAACATTACGTAGATCGTCGTCAGTCCATCGAGCGGAAATGTCCCACACAAAGTAATATACTGGAAAAAAAATCACTCTCTCTTCTTGTATGAACAATTTTCTTTTCAATCGAAAAACATCTACTCAACAAAAACAAAAGCCTCAAGAATTTTCTTAATGGTGCATCTTTATCATACCTAAGCATGATTTTTTCGAACCACATCGTTTGATCCAGTTCTCTTCCGGTCTTTTATTACTAAAGTTACACATTTTTTTAACGATTTTTTAATATACGAATACCCATTAAAGAGGCATAAATTGATCCTTCATATCTCCATTACGCAAGTTCCTACAGAAGCGTCAAGACTTTCACAAGGGGAAGCGTCCGAGCCCCGAGCACTATTATGCCTTACAAGGCGCAGCCTCGCACTTGCTTTACATACTGAACTTGCCTGGCGGCTGCACTAATTCGGAGGGATGCGACCGTGTCGATAGATTTATCGATGAAAATAATTTTATGATTTATCTTTTTTGGAAAATGTGAACGTCACTTAGTTAAATATAGGACTGAATAGGGCCATAGAGACTGGGATTATGTCTGTTATCAAAGCAAAAATGTATTGTAAACTTAGCTGGAAGAATTATTTTTGAACCTTCATAATGGGAAATAAATTTCTGCCATTTGTTTCCGGTTACGATTCCAAGACCACGACATTGACATGAGCACCAGCTGATAACGCTCTATCCATCCAGCTATTGTGATAAAAAACAAATAAATCAATTTATTATTAGGTTTTATCGACCTGGCGACCATTAACGGTTATGGAATCCCTATTATAAAACTTCTCTTTATAGCCACCGTCGGCTTCGAAGACATCAGTATCCATTAACGGTGAAACTGCTCTTTATTTAGTCACAATCGCGCACATTTATAGACTTTCCGGCCAACCTAGAATACCGCGATGAAAGATAAACGTAATTAAACATTCCTTAACGCTATTTATCTAAATTGATATTAGATTTTTTATAAAAATATTTATAATCGCATCGACATCGACACCCGACTCAATTAAATTATTAACATACCTAATTCGAATACCATTCTAATTGGCACATCACTACGTAGAGTTTTTTGAATCGCGGTTGATTGAGACTACTGATTGGAAATTAGATCATTAGCATGCTAATTTCGCTGTAATTGACCTTGCTATAATTATTCGTAAAATGTACGACATTCATTGCGGAAGTTTCATGGACCACACACAAGAAGATCATTATTGGCGCCCAATATGAAGAGAGCCCTTACGTAGTGCGATAGTCGTGTCTTATTAATATTACAGATCTGGTACCACAGACCAGGTTTGACTGGTTGCGATCTTATTTCTGAAGGTGGGCACAATACTCCAATTTGTTCAAAGATTGAACACTCAATAATAAGGAACGAACTTTCCCTTATATAAGGAACTCGCGGTGGGTCCGCGAAAACGCGCTTGAATACTTTTTTGTGACATATCGCTGCGTCTTATGATTGATTGATGAAAAACCGACGTCGCAACTACATTGGTGGTAATGTGGTACCAAATTCATCGACAGTTAATAACGTCTACGCGTTTCTACGAGTCAACACAATCTTCTACGTCAATTACATTTTTCAATTTGTTTGACAGTGATGGAACTTTAGTTACGTAACACGAGGTTGTAATTAGTAATAATTTTAATTGGTATTTAAGCTTCTGGGGCCGGCTACTTTAATGAAAAGTATATTAAACTTTTTGATGAAATCGATAACGAGAGCAACGAGTAACATTTGGACATTTACGTTTGGACGTCGGCCGTTTGGTGTAGTGGTTCAGAACGGACTACTATGCCGAGAGGTCCCGGGTTCGATTCCCGGCCGGGCAGAAATTGAAATGATGAATTTTAATTTCTGTGACGGGTCTGGGTGTGACTATGTATAATATTTATGTATTTAAAAAAAAAGTATACAGGGTGACTGGAACTGAACCCGCCATAGCTAATACGCGTATAGAGGAGGTCATTTGCTAATTATTGAACCTTACTTTCTATGACTAAAGTTTCATAGTTTAGGAGATATGTAAAATTTTATACTTTTTCCGAAATTTGACCTAAAAACGGCTTAATTTTTTTTTCTCGCATGATTTTAACCGATTTCTTTATTTGATAATAATATCGAATAAACCTTTAGTCAAATAAAATAAATTTCAGATTCAGATAATGATTGAATAACTAATTACGAGCCGCCAAAGTTTAACAAAAGTACAAACCATGATAAAAAATTCAAGTTCGAATTCGATTTAAAAAAAAACTAATGGTGATAATGGATTGCCAATGATCTTAAAAACATCTTTACCTTCTCTTCTTTCCAATGATATATCACACGTAGTAATTAGATATTGAAATTTATTAAAAATTCAAAGTTTATGAAAGAAAATGGAGTAATAATACGAAAATTATTCATACAAAGTTTCTTCAAACATCTCATATTTTCTGCTATACTCCTTTTCATAACTATTTTTGTGTGTTTTTTTTTTAAAAATAATTTAAAATAATAATCACAATATGAAGAAAAGAGTTTACAAAAATTCAAAATCAACTTTGTACGGATAATTTTTGTATTATTACTCCATTTTCTTCCATAAACTTTGAATTTTTGACAAATTTCAATATCTAATTACAACGTGTGATATATCATTGGAAAGAAGAGAAGCTAGAAATATTTTTAAGATAATTGGCAATCCATTATCACCATTGTTTTAATTTAAATCGAATTCGAAGTAGAACTTAATATCGTGGTTTGTACTTTTGTTAGACTTTGGCGGCTCGTAACTAGTTAGGTATTCAATCATTATCTGGATCCGAAATTTATTTTATTTGAATAAAGACATATTCGATTTTAATATCTAATAAAAAAACTGTTGAAATCACGCGAGAAAAAAAAATTAAGGTCTAATTTCGGAAAAATCTGAAAAAGTTTAAAAATTGACATATCTCCAAAACTATAAAACTTTAGACATAGAAAGTAAGGTTCAATAAATAGCAAATGACCTCCTCTATACGCGTATTAGCTATGGCGGGTTCAGTTCCAGTCACCCTGTATAAGTAGTATATCCGTTAAGCTAGCACTTATAACACAAGCATTAAGTTGCTTACTTTGGAGCTAGCTGGCGCTGTGTGAAATTGTCCAAAGATTTATCATTATTATTTAAGTCACAGATTTTGAAAGTTTTCATTAAATATAGCGCAGGATTTAATGGCATCTGATAATTGCATTACTTGGTCTGCTGATTTCAAATGAAGCAGCCATAAATCTGCTAAGAATTATGAAGCTGGAAGAAAACTTTAAATCAATAGATGCGTGTTTCTATAAACGTTCAATCTCACTGCCATTTATGAGAAATATGATCATTATCAACGATTTCTGAGTAGTTTACATCGTGGAGATATGAGTTGGATGCACGAACTTTCCCTTCGAGTTGTTTTAAGCAGTTCATAAATTTTAATATTGTCCGTAAGTAGTGTGCCGTACATGGTGCACATGAGTGATGGTTGGGAAACTATTTGTCGACATAATTCGATTTCACGGGCTCAGTCGTTAATTGCGATTAGCGAGGATCGATGCGTCCGCTGGCGACAACTGGTTTAAGGTGAAACTAGACAGTGGTGCTAAACCATTTAGATCATATTAATTTAGAAAAATGTATAGTCTGATAAGCTGTTGACGGTATATTACTTATGAGCCAAGAAGCTCATTGATTTGATTGAAGCTTTTGGTATTTAAGGTGGTTTCTATAAAGTTATAATGTGAATTCAAATTCGCACTTGCACCGCATGTAGATTTCCTTCTAATTTGTGACTTGGAAATCGATGTGATAGATGATAAATTAATTATTAAGCTTTTTTTCACGAGATACTTTACCTAATCGCCATCGGAAAACCTCAGTGGAATTGGGCTTCAAAATTACCTGAAAAAAGGAAATAATAAATCATTAGTATTGTAGATTTGGTAAAATGATGAAGCACTATAATAATTATAGGTAAAATTTTATTCATTCGATTTTAAAAGTCTTCCAGTTCTCAAGCTAGATTCTGTGTGACTGAGGTATTCTATGTTACTGGGAAAAAGAGAAGAATAGGTTATTTCCCAAAATAGAAAAATACTTCTCTTTTCGATTAATATCTCTGATAATTAATAAAGGTTATAGAGTTATGAAAATGTTGCCGACCCCTATGATTTCTCCGGCACGTCGCCGCACGGAATTTAGATACCGCTCGGACACTCGGTCTTGTTAGAACGACATCTGCGCGCGCGCCTCGTCGCATTTCTCTCGGTGCGCTTGCGTCGCGCGCCTATCATATTTAATATCGATCCAACGTAGCGTGGAATCATGCGTTAGATAATTATGTTCCGATATTGGCTTGTAAGGCTAGACGTGGTACAGATTTTAAAGATAGTCGCCTAATGTAGAGTCTATATTATAGCGTCTTTTCTTACGTACATGTGAATTTATGCAAGATGCGGAGTTTTGAAATTAATTGCCACTTTCTCAGTCACATTGAAAAAGAACGTTACTGGTTTTATGCAGTGACAATCCAATGATACGAGTATTTAAATTTTACCTACGATGTATGCTTATAGCATAATAGATTTCGAAACAAAAGATTATATAAAAAAATAGAGCTTTAAGGTTTCAATTCTGAAATAACGCTCAAAACTCGTTATAAATTCAAAATTTGTTTCGTTGACCTTCATGACAATTGACATTGGAAATAGAGGCTAGATATCTATCATTTTATTTAGGTACCTAACTAGGTACGATAGGAAAAGTAGGTAAGTGCAGTGCTTTCATATCATCGAAAGAAACATAAACATCACTAATATATTAAGTAAATGTTATTAAATTAACTTTTATTTCTGCATAACTGCAGTTTTAGAGTAATAACTATGTAACAAATATCATCATAAGTAAACATTAATAGTTTGCGTTCTCTTCTTAATTGGAATTTGGTAGTAAACTTCTGTTTTTGATTCATAGTTATTTAATAAGCGTTATTAATATTTTCATCTTGGTTTTATGTGTTGCTGGGACTATAATTTATATAATGAAAGAAATAACTATATTTATATCGTTTAAAAGGTTGGTAAAATTAAATAAATAAGTATAGTCCGTTACTGATCATAATGAATCTCTGTTGTTTGATATGTCTTAGAAATCAGCATAGAAGAATCGATTTAAAAAAGATATTTATTTAATTAATAATGTAAAAAGTACTACTTTGTAGTTGATTACTTTACTTATATTTATAAGTAAACCATAAAGAAAGAAGATTATGCTTACCGACTTAATTATGTAAACCTACCGGTAATTATTCAATAACCATTATTAAAATTAATTCTACATAATAGTAAATTAGGTTAAAAACGCCACTTGTAAACCTTATAAATGACAAAACGTCCAACAAGTTAATTTGTATTTGATGTAACAAAGTCCAAATTGTTCAGCCAGGACATTGGAAAATGGATATCAAGAACGGATAGTAAAATCAATTCCTTTATTATTCCTATTTTGAAGATAAGCGTGAAAATTCGACATTGAAAAAAATGAGTTGGGTTGTTAATGATGATTAGGTAGCCATTAGTTCAAAACATCATTGCTTTTAACTTTAACAACAAACTTAAACTATGTACTATTTCAGTTTTCTCTCATATCTTGAGTGAGATGCACTCACCCCTAATTTGTACTTTCCTAGTAATCTAACCAAGCCATAATACGAGTAGCCTGATATTTCGAGATACACCCAAGTGCCCACGCTCCGACTGGATTTTTAGTAAATCAACCACCACTCTTAGCTTGTTCTAACTGAGCTGGCTCTTCTATTCACGCTGTGCGTGATACGGCGTAGTATATTATCCGCTAATGCGTATCAGATTATAGTGTTAAATATGCTAGTTTATGGCCGATCGCGGCGCCTATCAAAACATCATTAGAGCAGCCCGCTATTACCATGTTATTGGCTTTATAGGTTGTCTTGTTAGCTCGAAAGGGGAATAAAATATTATTGCTTTTTATTGTGCTGTAAGTCTCAGTGATCTAGTGATTAGATGGTGAGTTTTTCAATCCAGGGTTCTGAAATCAATTCCCAAAAAACTGAAAAGTCTGACTGTGTAATTTTTGCTAATTTATAAGATTGAAGTTTGTGTACGAATGTGTGCTAGAAACTAGATGATACCAATGATTTGTTTATTCATACTGATTAATTAAGCCATGTATTCATTAGGCAACATTTGTTGATAAACTGTTTATGACAAGTTTACCATAAACACAGGTTTCTGAAACTTGGCCGTCCACACTTGCTCTCCACTCATAGCGGGGAGCACGGCAACATGTGTCATAAACAATGTTTCATCACCTATGTTTATGGACTGTTTATAAACTGTTTACACAGATGATGAAACATTGTTTATGAACAGTTTATAAACAGTGTTTATCAACAAATGTTGCCTAATGAATACATGGCTTAAAGTAACATACAGGGTGTCCCAAAAACAATGGATAACCCTGTAACCATCGATAGGCCTTGCCATGGCCTCCCTAACGTCCAATTTTGACTCCAGTAAAAATATCACCGTTTTCAAGATTTTTAAGTTTTTGTGCATTTTTAGAAAATTGCCACCTGCGATTACTTTTTCTCATGCCATTTCTACAAATGAGGATACTTTTCAATCTAGTTTTTTTCCTTATCACAAGGGATAGTTGGGCTATCAAAAGAAAAGATTAAAGTTCAACGATCTAGTTTAAAAGTATGAAAATTTTAAGAAATTGCAGAGAAGAAGGAAAAATTAATTCATTGTCTTGCACTTTTGATCAGCCATCGTGTAAAAAAAATGTAGGAAGACCATCGTGCCCATTACCTTAAAAACTTCCTTGGTTAATTGAGATTCTGAAAAGGTATCACAAGCTTATGTATTCTGTATTATTTTTATCTTATGGCTACTTGAATAGCAACTAGTATGAAAACTGCAAAAATTAGTTTTTCTCGTAATAGTTAAACTAGGACTGCATAGTGGCATCAAATACAAATGGATAATTTTTAGCGTGAACATAAAAACCCTCGCCATGTTGCGGAAAACTAATGGTACTAATTTCTTTTAATGGCAACAGTAACTGAAAACTTCATTGACATGTCACCTTGCATGTCAGTCTATTGTTGTCAAAGTGTAAACAAACTTTATTTTAAATGTGTGCAATTGATTTTGTGAATTAAATTGCTAAAATATTTTTATAGTCGTGAAAGAAAAGTGGTTCACGCTATGTTAATGTATTTGTCGAAGAGAAATACTACGGGTTCGGACAATATTTTCATTGAATAATGTTTCAGACAAAGGTTGTCAAACTGACTGACATGTTTATCGTATAGTACAGTCCACTATGAAAATTAGCTGTAGTCTGTTTCAACTACCCATTTTAAAGTTTCTTGTTACTTTCTAAGTTTTGAATTTTATGGAATTGGGAAAGAAGTACCGAGTTTGAAGCGTTCATGAGCAGACATTGCAGTTGATGAATAATAAAATAAATCCTACTAGCTCGATTGATGGTTTCATTTAATTTATTTAAACCAGGTTACCTTTAATAATATTTTTCGTTCATTTATGAAAATATCAAATTAGCCCGTAATCCTGAATCCTGATACATAAATTTAGCCTATTAATTTAACACATGTACGACTGTACTCAGTGTTGCACTATCAAATGCAATTGAAGCGCCTCTATGCCAGGGTTTTTATGTTCCTGGTCAGGCTATACAAACAGTTTACAGTCTAGGCTTCATCGTAAATTGCAAAGATGACTGAGTTTCTTCTCAGCACCGGTCGATATATTGTGCCTAAGTGGTGATAGGTGAAATTAAAAATATTTTAAATGATTGATATGTATATGTTACGGTCAAAGTGATAAATGTGAACATTATTAATAATAACCGGTTATTATGAATAATTACCGACAGTCGTGGTGAAAGNAGGGTTATCCATTGTTTTTGGGACACCCTGTATATGTTTAACAAGCAACACAACATTGTCACTTTTAACAAACTGTCAATTTAAAAGCGCGTATGTAAAGGACTATTTACATTGTGTAGTTGCGAATTATTAAGCTTCCCCAAAATTATATTTACTGAATTGAACCTTAAACTAAAATTGTAAAGTTCAGAATCCATTTGTAAAATTCGTAATTTTGTTGTAGGGTAATCTGCTGGCGTACGAATCAATTTACCCCGGCCACCCATTGTCTTTGATTCAGATGTCTCATTAAACGAACACGTCCCAAAAAACGCTGTCAAATTTATGTGACCATTAACTACTTTGTCGCGCCCAGAAGATGGAGAGGCATTTAAAAGAAATTTCAGTTCGGACTAAAACCTTTTTGTAGTCGAAAGGTACTGTAAATAGCCATTGATTACCTCATTACCGACCTTGTATTGCCTCTAATTTAATTGGCCATATAAATTTTATTGGAATCTCTACGCTCTTGATTTGTTGAGCGACTGGAATGGATTCTGGCATTTATTTATGACTAGCTTTTGAAGCTGCGCGTTGGTATTTGGATTGTGATATAGTGTTTTATTGTACCTACCAACCTTATTATTTTCATAGTTTTTGCTATACTTTATCGACGCTTAATATGACATGTAAATTGAACCAAAAGTGTATTTATCGATAATAAATAAATATTAATACTTTTTAGAGGCTGTCTCTTCAAGTACCAACGAATCGAAACAACAGAATTCAATTGTTACCGCAGTTTCATGCGACCAATTATGGTTCCGCGACTTAAATATTTTTGTGTCTCATGTCTAAGGTGAGCTAACTACTTATCGATTTGATTCGACAATCGATACATGTCTTCACTATCGACTTAATAGACTTTCGCCAGACAAAATACTATAACGCGATAGAGATCGAGCAACAA